CAGCGACACTTGGCGGAGAGACTGTTGGTGGAAATTCTGGAGCCCCACAGAGCCGGGGCAGGAAGCGGTCCTTCGGGGGTCAGCCAGCCAAGGCTCATTGTCTAAGGCTGAGCATGCGGACTAACCGAGGGTCATCAGGTCTTGGAGGAGCAAGCATCTCAGGGCAGATCGGGAGGCCGGGACAGCAGTGACGTGGTGTTGACAGAAGGGTTCTTGTCTTAGCCACACGGCGAGGAGGGAGCCCGGAGCCCAAGAATCACTGCCCAGGACTCCCTAGGTTTCACCTCCAACCATCTTCCCATCCTATTACCTGCAAAGTCACATGGCGAAGAGTGTCGCTCTGCTGACGTCCAGGATGGACTCTGCTATCTCCTGGGGCAAGCCCTCTGCCGCCTTCATGACGGGCAGAGAAGCTAACACATCTCGAGTCCTCTGGGAGGTCTAGTCCCGGGACCCTCCCTGCTGATGACCGTGAAGGCGTCTGGGCAGAAGGGGTGAAATCCCATGGGAATGCCCCTCCCAGAGTCTTCCTCTGTGAGATACACCCAAGGTGGGTGGGGGCCACCAACAGAGGGAGACGCAGGATTCTGGGCAGGTGTTTCGGGGCTGTTTGTCTGAGTTTTATTTTTATTTTTAATTTAATTATTTTTTATTGACTTTAGAGAGAGAGGGAGAGAGAGATAGAAACATCAATGATGAGAGTCATTGATCGGCTGCCTCCTGCACACCTGCTACTGGGCATCGAGCCCGCAACCCCGGGCATGTGCCCTGACCAGGAATCGAACCCTGACCTCCTGGATCCTAGGTCGATGCTCAACGGCTGAGCCACACCAGCCAGGCTGTTTGTGATTTTTTAAAATTTTTAGGCACCATCAGGGTGAACCATGGCCTTCTCTTTGACATACTGCATTCTGGGATCTGAAGTGAGAGCTTTATGATTAAGCCCCAAACAAAGTCCTCGTAAATTACCTCCATTTAAGGAGCAATCTGGTTGATTCTAAGAGGCGGGAGTCCTGGGAATTGATGGTCTGTGAGATGCCTTCAGAAGTAGTTTAAGTGGCCCTAGGAGATGGAATTGAAATATAAGCTCCAGAAATGGGATTTTTTTATACATTAATATCACAGCAGCCAGAGTTCAATGGAAATGTGCCCACAAAAGAACAAAATACATTTATTGTACGTGTGTGATTCATGCAGTTCACTTAACCTATTATTGTAGGGCTCCCTGACCCCTGCAATTATATATAAACATATATACATTACATATATACATTGTAGATAAATGTATACATTAGGTAACAACCTTTCCTCTTAAGTTTCTTAAAGCCACATATGTATCTACTTACATAGAATATATGAAGTGCATATATGTCAATTAAATGCGTGTAAATTGTATAGAATGACGTTTCCTCTTAAGTTTCTTAAAACCACCCACCCATAACTTATTTATAATATATACCATACACATGTGTGTATGTATGTTAGATTTATTAAATTTTACCTGAAGACATTTCCTCAAGTTTCTTAAAATCACACACAAATACTTTACCTATTCAGGGTGTCCCCCCAAAATGTATACACTCTGTTAATGTGATAGCTCAGCTGGTGTTTCTTTCTTTCCAGATTTAACCCATTGGAATTAATAATTATTCAAACTGTGTATACATTTTTGGGGGGACACCCTGTATAGTCTATATGTGTGTGTACATGTCTACTGGACACACGCATATCTGATTCCTGTTTAATGTTTGCTACTTGAGGTACGTAAGATTCTCATTCTATACAACTTGCTGTGTAAATTCGCTCTACGATTTCCACACATCAGTGTCCCAGTGCCTGGCTCAGATCCCACACGGGTACCCAGAATTTGAGAGTCCCCGTGGACCCCTATCCAGCCCATTCATCTGGCATTTCAAAAAGCATCTGGGGGAGGGACCAGCCGAATGGGAAGCCCACAGATCTTACTTTCGTTTTAAAGAATGCGGGTGACGTGTTTGGGAAATGTCACGTTATAGATAAAAAACAAGCAGAGCATCGGGGACCGCAGAACGGCGGGTTTTCAGTGGCTGTGAACACACTGCTTGTGGGTTCGGAGGGATGGCCCGGCACCACCCTTTCCTGGCTTATGTCACCGTGGGGAGGAGGTGGTGGTGGCCACGTAGCTGGCTTCCCCTCCCTGCTTGCCGAATGTGGCCGGACAGTCTGGTTCCCGCCATTCTCGCATTGGGGCGTGATTTACAATATTGTTTCTTCTTGCTTACTTTTTAGACCTTCCTTTTTTTCTCACTGTTTTTGGGGGTTTTCTTGCTGGCGGTCTCCAGAATACATAGGGTGTCCCAAAAAATGTACACACACTTTAGCAGCCCATCACTCACTTAATCTTCACTTCTTTTCAGGTTTAACGGATTTGAAATAATGGGTGAAGCCAGACTAAGCTCTGAACGAAGAAAATTTATCCTAAAGTGTCACTAGACTTTATTTTTATGGGGACACATAAAAGATAAAGTTGACGGTAGAAAACCAGCAGCTGTCAACCTGTTCAGGGTGCACAAACACCGCACGAAATGATTCCTGATGTGGGCAATTCCATTGCTTTGCATTATCAGCAGGGCCTGGACCAGAATGGTCGTCCGTTTGAAAACAGGCCTTGACCAAAATAAAATGACTCATTTCTGTAGATTCTTTTAAATGTTGAAAATGAACTGTATGTTAGTAAACACTGACTTCATCATCAAAGTGTGTCTACATTTTTTGGGGGGACACCCTGTATATAAAAACGCATTTGGTACAATCACGAATGTATTTGATTCTCACGTTTGTTACCCACCAGGGTTTTGTTTGGGTTTAGATTACTTACCCACAAGGGAAGGTGTTTTAAAACAGAGACAAACATAAAAATAGACAGTAGTTGTGTTTGTTGGCTCTGAGAGAGGAAGCAAGACCCAGGTAGGATTGCGCCACCCTGCTCTGTCTCAGGCGCGTGACCTGAGGCGATGGACTGCACTTCTCTCAACCTCCCTGTCCTCATTTATTTAATAAGATAATTGCATTGCACCTCATGAGGTCCTGGAGAGAGTGAAACAGGTGATGGTTTATACAGTAGTGAGCATGTCCTGCTCATCTGAGAGCTGGTGGCTTTTACTACAGCTGTTTTGAAACAAAAAGCCAATGTATTTTATTTTATTTTTTGGTTAAGCCATACAAGGAGGATATTTTTTCCATTGATTTTTACAGAGAGCGGAAGGGAAGGAGGGAGAGAGGGAGGGAAGGGCAGAGAGAGAGAGAAATATTGATGTGAGATAGACATATTGATTGGTTGCCTCCACACATGCCCAGGCCAGGGTGGGATGGGACCTGCAACCCAGGTTCATGCCCTTGACCAGGAACTGAACCCGTGACCCTTCCGTGTGCGGGCTGATGCTCCAACCACTGAGCAACACAGGCCAGGGCTCAAAAGGCCAATTTTAACCACAGATGGCTCAACACTCTTTAAACCAGACTCTCGTCACCTGGCTTGAATACGTATTTCCAGGAGCTGACGGCAGCCCAGGGCAGCTTGTGTGTGACTCTGCCTGGCAGCAAAGTCTTTCCCAAGGCCCAGGGCTTTCAGCGCTTGTGTGGGGTGCATGTTAGAGGCAGCACTGGGCCCCGTGATTTACACTTAGCTTATACACTGGGGAGAGACCCTCATCTTTTTATTCGTCCTATCAGTGGCTAGCGAGCTGTGGAGACCACTCTGCAACAGGTCACCGCACCTTCTCTGTTGCATTTAAAGTTGCCGAGAAAAGTAAGCTGTTGCCCTACGGGGTAAAACAGTTTTGCCAAAATAAACTGTGATTTGCGGAAGGACACCTGTGCCATCTCTTCTCAGAGGCCATGCATCTTTGACTGTTAGAGTTATGAGAAGCTAAAAGGCATCTAGTTAGCTGCAGAGAACCCACCTAGATAGAACACTGTGTCCTTGCTTTCCAATCTAGCTTGTGGCAAAGAAACTTTAGACTGATCAGGGTTTTTTGTTTGTTTGGTCTTTTGTGTGTGTTTTTGTTAATCCTCACATGAAGGTCATTGCTCTTCAGAGAGTGTGGAGGGGAGAGAGGGGGGAGAGAGAGAGACAGAGAGACATCGATGTGAGAAAGATACATGGTCTGGTTGTCTCCCACATGCACCCCCACCGGGACCAGGGAGCAAACCTGCAGCCCAAGCACGTGCCCCTGACTTGGAATCGAACCCAAGATCCTTCAGTGAATGGGCCAGAGCTCTAATCACTGAGCCACACTGGCCAGGGCTGAGTTTTGTTTTTAAGTGCAGGGGCCTCTTCCACCTACACATGAGATGTTTCTAAAGAGTGAGGAAAGTGACTTAAAAAAATGACTTGAACCACACTTTCACGTCTTTGGGGAACAGAAGCCCAGCAGGTTCCCCCATGCGTCGCTTCCTCAATTGCCATGAGGTTTTGGCAGTTCAGCCCCCGAGAAAGGGGAACTCCCTGCCGGCACCCTGGTTCCTGTAAGTGAACACAATGGATTCCCTGGCAAGAGCCATGCCTGGACCTGCTGTGGCTAAAACAGAGCAAGGAGGACCCTCTTTGAGGATCCCTGTCCCAGCATGCCTGACACTTTCATCACCCAAAGTCTTGTGTTTGCTTAGTTTTTTTCAGGCAGCTCTAGGAGGCTTCAAAACCCAGGCAACTCCCTGAGCTCCTTGCATGGCCCCAAATACCCCCGTTGTCAATATTAACTATAGCATCCAGGTTGTTGTGCAACTTCGAATTCTCAGTCCTGGCACTGGAGCTCTCATCCCTTTCCAAAACACTCCTTTTATCTAAGGAATCAACAGAAATGTAACATCGTTTCAATGGGAAAGAAAAGCAACTCTCTGCTTTGTGTATCTATTTGTTTCCAGACAAGAGAGACTGGGAACAAGAATTCTAAAGGCTCTAGCAGGTGAGCACTGGATACTGTATAAAGCTGCTCCACCCACATTTGTGGGATGAAGCTGTAATGCGTTACATTGTGTCCGCCCCCCCAAAGAGGTATGTTGGAGTTCAAACTTCCAGGACTTCAGAATGTGACTTTATTTGCAGATAGAGTCTGATCAACTTAAAATGTGGTCATGAGCCTGGCTGGTGTGGCTCAGTGGCTGAGCGTCCGATCCAGGAACCGAGAGGTCACAGAAAGAAAGGTTAGAAAAGGAAGAAAACTCGGGGCAACCAAAGACTGATGGGACAGAAGAAGGCCAAGACGCCAAGGCATTTAAAAAAATTCTTCTTCCATGCCTTTCCTATCACATTGTGGCGTTGGGGGTTTGCTTGGGGACAATTCACCAACCCAGGATGCTAGGGAGATGCCCCTGAGATGCAGGTGCCAAGGATGCAGAACCTCGAGCCCCTGCCCATGCACCGGGGCAAAGAGGAACCCACGGGAGGCTCCCGTGACTGAGGCCACCTGCCTGCACGTTGACCTGGGGACTCGCAGTGACGCCAACACGAGCATCTCTGCACCCCGCGCCCACCAACCCGTGCCCGGTCCCTCCAGGCTTTCCCACCGTCACGCCCTTTGCAAATTCACGCCGTGCATTCGCCCCGAGACTGGGAGACCGGCTCCGCGCGGCCCCTGGACGGAGCATCCCGGCCCGTGCACGGGGCTGGAG